TACTTTGATCCTTGCATTTGCTAGTTCAGCTTCCAAATGTTTTATCCCAGTATTGATGTTATTTTTGTACTTTTTCAATTTTGTTGTTATAATCCTTCCTTACTTCACTGATGGACTTCAATGATTTTGTTTTCATAATGCTTTTTCACACTTGTTATGGTTTTTTCACCTTCAATTTGTACATTTTCTATGGCTTTTTCAACTTCAGTATGGACACTTTCTAATATTAGTTTTTAAATGACATATTGAAAACTGGAGGAGAGAAGTCATAGTAATTTGAAAAATGGCTAAGGTTCCAGAATAAAACAGTTTATTATTACTACTGTTTCAGCTTACACTTTTTTTTCAAGGAACAGCATTTTGTCTGTGTAGTAAGAACACAAGAAATAAAGAAAACAAATTTATGAAGTGTAATAACATAATGTAAGTCATATAAATAAAACTTCTTCAAAAAAAAAAACTTTCTTCTTTTCCCAAACTGTTAGAAGATTTAAAATAATTTGAAATGTAACTTTCTTTTACAGGAATTATATATTTCTTAATTTCTTTTGTAAGTAAAAACAGAAGAAAGTAAATTAATTTACTAATTTTATGATTATCCAAAGAATATTTTCAGAAAGAAATTCAAACATTAAACTACAAAAAAAATATATTTTTTTAATAATTGGTAGTACATTTTTCCTTATGACTCGTGCTAAGCTAAAATTTTTAATCCCTAACATTCTCATAACCACTCTCATGTAAAATTGGTTAGCTAACCAGTCTACTGTTCCCCTTTTCAACCATTCCTTATTTAGAAGATACAGGGCTTTCTCCTATTAATTACTCCAATATATCAGATGCTTAAAGGTACATGTATGGTATGACTAACTGTAATCATAAAAGCATCTGAAAGAGCATATCAATTTCCACAAAATGGAAACAGATAAACTTCTGTTACTTTCTACAAATATTACAATCATGATTATACTTTTCAGGCTATATATCAAAAATCACTGTTGGTTGGATATTTAAACCTTTTAGAAATACCCAAAATTTAAGATCAAAATGCTCCTGAATGAAAACTCACATTCGTAGCAGTTAATATTACTTTAAAATATGGCCCAATTTGTACAATGAGTAAACAAAATAAACTCTTATGTTTGGTTGTTGTTTGTATCAGAGTCTTCATTCTGATGTTTTAAAATTACAATCAAGCATTCTTCAGTCTCTTTTTATCTTCATTCTTATAATCTCTTCCAGTCTCCATAAATGCAGACACAACAAGTTCCAAAAATTACAAAAGTAAAAAAGTTTTTCTTCAGTATAAAGTCAGAGTATAAACTATCATTCAATAAAAAAAAGAAAAAATGAAATAGGCATAAACAAGTTGCATGTAATTACAAGGAAATTGAATATTCATAATTGTTTTTCTTTTTATGTTCACAGAATAAAATGTAATAGTTCACTCTAATACAAACTGAAAGTCACAATTCAAACAAGACTCATTGAAATCTAGTATTACCAGTCTGAATAACTGAAAGAGTTTTTGAGCTGGCAAGGCTTGAGCATTTGCTTGATTACTGTAGATGTATGTACACAAACAGAAACCAGTAGGCATGGTATGGGATTCATATCAGCTACCAATGCCCAGGACAAGAAGTGTTTCTGTTATACTTTGCCTATTGGAAGAATTTTTGAAGGCAACACAAGCCAAATTCTATACAAATATATAGACATATGTCAATTGAATTCACAAACCCTCAACCATACACTATAACAAATGTATCTAAATTAATACCCTTAGAGGAGAAGCCAGTAAAGTTTGATTGCCAATTCTAGGGAGAAAAAAAAAAAGCTTTAAACTGTTAAATAAAAAAGGTATATGCTTTTAAAACAACTTGCCATTTTAATTTGTGCCAGCATTAAAATAATTCATGATTTACTTATCATTTCTTTACTTGTGTGTGGTATTTTACGTGCTGCGTTGTAAAATTCTGGTGACTAAAGATTGAAAATCATAAACTACCTTAACAAAATTTAACACAAACATCATTATTAATACCCATATATAGCTGGTTTAGCCATTTTGCACTGTAAAAAATGTAACAGCTGGCAATGTAGAGATTATAGTAAAACTGGATATTGCCAACAGCTTTGTATCATGATATGCACCATGAATTTCGTTTCTACAATATATGCAGTAAATCTGTTACAAAGGTCTGAACATAAAACTAATATTATGACTACAATGCTGAGATGAAATTATTTTAATATGTCAATCAGATTTCAAAATAAAATGTATTAGCAGCTTTGTTTTAAGTGATATTTTCATTGTGGCATAAGTAGCATGTAATTATAATATTTAAGAGTTGTGAGTGGTCCCAAGTTATATTTTTTGTATTACTTAAGTCTGATTTCAATAAAAAATAATTACTGCTCATGTGTTACTGTGCAACTAAATATTCAGTCATATCTTCCTCAACATTAAGAACGTCTAAAAATTTTCTTGTAAGATCTTCAAATGCCGAGATTAAAGGTGACAAAAAGTAGAATGAAATGGAACAACTAAATATATGCACAAAAACACTACATAACTATTTTCTACAAATATTAAATATATTAAAGAGTAAGGTAGAGAAACAAGCTTCATACAACAGTAAACTTTTAAAATATAGACCTATGTTTTAACTTGCAATCTCCATGGTTACCACATACAATCATTAGCTCTGTAGAATAACTCATGTTTGTCAATTCAGCATCCAACTGGCATTTCACGTGAAACCCTATTTACATGTGCGAGATTCCCCAAAATCCTAGCTCAATTCTTCAGCAATAGTTTTGTAACCACCATCAAAAAACACCTACAACTTGATAAAACTATCTTGAAGTAGTCAGTGACACCGAACACCCTTAACGACACATTCCAGTGACATGAACATCCAAAAGTTTGATCAGCTGGTTACAATCTCAAGGAAACACTTAAACTTTCCAAAAAAGGCTTGTACCATTCTTTAATACTTGTCACATGTTCAGAAGTGGTTCTTAATTGCGTAAAAGTGCTAAGTGCCAGAAGATTAAAGAAAGCCATTTTTTAAGGAAGGGAATACAAAATGTCTAAGTAATTACCTGACAGTTAGTCTTTCTTTGGTTGTTGGGAAATTATTAGTCTAAAATTTAAAAAATTCTCCAATAGCATTTAGATAACTTTCATATTCTCACATGTAATCACCACAGATTTTAAATTACTATTATAATTATTACTATAATAGTCATTTAAAAAAGCTCTAGGTGAAATTGACAAGGAAGATGATCTTAGCATAGCTATTGCAGTGTTTCAGGCATTCTACACTAGTGTTTCTCAACCCCCAGTCCCATAATAACCACCCTGCTAGTCCATGGGGTTTCACAAAAATAAACAAATTAACAAACAACAAAAAACTGATAGAATATTTACATGTATATTACAATGGTTTTTTTTGTTGTACCCTGAGAGCTTAAAGTGGCATAGAGCTGGTCCATGGTATCAAAAAGGTTGAGAAATGAAGTTCTAGACAATACACATTAACTAACTTACAAGAAAAAAAAAGTATTTTAAGTTCTACATATGAAAATATTACATACAAGATGAAAGATATCAACAGTTTACTCTGTAAGGTATTGATTAGACCTCGTTTAGATCACTGTATTCAGTTTAGGTCACCTTATTTAAGAAAGGATGTTGAATTGTTGGAAAAGGTTTAGAAAAGAACAACTACAAAAGTTCCAGGTTTGGGTGGGTTATAAAATGATAAAAAGTTGAAATTTTGATATTTTCACGGGGGAAAAAAAAAAAGGCTCAGCTTTGGCAGGATGTAACTGAAGCTAAGGTCATTACATGTTTGAAATCCATAAATACAGATGATGTTTTCAGGAAAATGTACACAAAGTAAAACTAGAGAATACAAATTTAAGATAAAAAAACCAACACAAATAGATTTGAGCCATGAACTCAATTAATCAATGAGCACGGATTACACTGATTGGTGTAACATAAGATAATAAATTAGCTCAATTAATGTCACAAAAATAATCAACTAATTGAAATTAGTGTTTCAGAATATTACTATTTTCAGTTATGGTTGGTATGTGATACAAAATTGTTTTAAAAATGTCCAATAAAATCAACCACCATAATCAACATATAATACAATCATGGTTAGAATACAACAGTTACGAATCACAATATTATCACTATAGGAAGAGATGGTAATGCTGGATGAACATCATGCTACAGCTCAGGACAAAAATACCATGACTTATTAGTCATTACAGTAATCTCATCTTCCTCCACACACACTCATAAACATAAACTCAATCAAAACCCATTGTCAAACCAACCATGATTACAACATACCTTTACATGAAAGTAGCTAAACAACTCATCAAGATGTGAAGGAATTTGTTCTGAATGGGACATTAATCTATGACCCTTTTCTTACTATGGCTTTTTTTAAATAATGCTGTTTTGCTAACATTACATCACAGTAAAGACTCAAAACAGACCTTCTAGGCTCCCCCCCACCATAAAAAAAAACTATATTATTTATACCAATATGCCCATAACATAGACCATTAACACTGATTCCATACTTCATGTTGAGTTGTATGCAAAACTCTACAAAATACATAACAAATGTAAATTCACCATATTTCAAGTGCATTTTACAGAGCACTAATATTAATAAGATAATAGCTTAACGGGTACACAAACTTCCTTGTCACATAAGATTTTAATACAGTAAGATATTAACTAATCTGCCCTGATGTGGATTTAAAACTAGAACCTTTGGTTCACATCAATGTTCTAACGTCAAAATCAATGCTGTTGCCAAATGAGCTACCAATCAGGCAATTATCCATCCTGACTGTCACTATCACAGTGCCCCAGTGGTAATATTAACACAAACAATTGCACAAATTCCTGATAATATAGCTTCTAAGTAACAGTAAGCGTTCATTAATATCAAATAAAATCTTACCAAACTTTAGAAAACCTGTTGATGGTAACTTAGATTTCACTAGCCCATCCCTTTCAGGATGAACTGTATCATCACTGTTGGAGTAATCAAACGACCTTTTTGATCTTGCAGCCCCAGGATCGGCATAAGAAAAACTGGATGGAACATCGGACAAAAAGAGTGCATCTTCACTCAATATACTTTTATCACTTTCAGCTTGCTTTGACTGAGCTAGCAACAACTGAATTAACACACATAACAGTAAAAGAAGAAATGGGCCTGAGCTCCACTTTGAATTTGATCTTTGATTTAATCCATTATGGCCTGTCAGGCCTACAATTTCAAAATAAACATGGAGTGTCATTTTCACTCTCCAAGACAGATTTCAAATTCTGGTTTCGACGTTCCAACTCATTTCTGATAATTTATTCATCCTTTCGATACTTGTCTTATAATCTATAACACACAGAAAACACCGTTCTTCAAGTTTGCGCAACTCTAACCTTCTGTACTAAAACCCTAATAATATAACCTTCAGATCACCACATCAAATGATGACATCAGCAGATTTAGCGTATTTTTCTTCTTTTTTTTTTTTAAGTCTTCGTTCTGCGGCGTTTAGTCTTGCCATCTAGAGGTAAAATAATGAAGTAAATTTATAACATGCCATAGTTTGCGTTTCTTATTTACGTCGTCTTTAAAATTTCCTTTAACGTCGTCATAAATAATAAATTAGCACCCAACTTAAGAATTTTATTTGTGTGTGTGGGTATAATTAAGCGCAAAGCTACATAATGGGCTATCTATTCTGTGTCTACTACGGTATCGAAACATGGTTTTTAGCGTTGTGGTTCACAGAGATACCGCTGAGCCACTGGAGGGCTCAACCTAAGAGAAGAACATATAGTACATCTATGTGTCTGAAAAACACTTGAAACAGTATCTTCTAAAAAGAACAGGTTCATTAAAATAAATTACGATAATAGTTCTTTAATATATATATAAATGAGTAAACTTTTTAATTAATATTAAACTGACTTACAATAATAATACGTATATTTATAAATATCTATAAATACAGCCCAATCTGATTCTGTTAGCTTTACTACTAGCAACAAAACACTGCTTTGATTACTTTAATGACTTATTTACCATTATGCCAAGATCCATTTTATTCGTTACACGATTGAATTGGTTCCCCTAAATTTTAAACACTTACTTGCAAATTTTGGTAAACTACATAATAATACTTTTAGTTAATATAGCTAAACGTTATCTGCCAAATATTTGTCCGATTTACAAATTGGTCAAAGTTGTTCGGCAGGGTCACCCAAGGGTTAGAGAAGGTCAAGGGCAAACTTGAAATACGGAGGTCTCCTCCACAAGTTCATACTTCCCTAAAAATAATATTAAACGTCGGATTAATAGGCGCACAGACAAAGATAGGTAATTATTTAGTATATTCAGTAATGCTTATCAAATTTTCTAAATTATCTTTTATAATATTCAAGTATAAAATCGAAAGTACCTTCGAACTGGCACCTCACCAAATACCAACTGTCAAGACAGTTTTAGAAAATATTTTGTATTTTAGGGCGCCCTTTCTTATATGATTCATATTCTTTGTTTTTCCGGTTTTTTTTTGTTGTTGTTGGTGGTGGTGGTGTTTAGTTTTATTAAACAATAATTGTATATTGGGGCCCTAAAAACGTGAGGGATTGGAGCAAAAGGCCACAGCTGCCCACCCTCTGGGCGGACCTGTCATTTGTAAGTACTTCAACATCGTCAATATAGCTCGAAATATACAAGGGTTTTATATCATCAGCGTAATTTACTAATTATGCCCCTATCAGTGAATAAGAGAGTAAATGCCAAACGTTGACTCCTGAGATACTTTGCTAGAGACAATGGTCCAGTTGAACTGAACTCCATTAATAATTTATTTTTTTCTCCCATCCAACCATCCTACAATCCAATTAACTTGTCTTTATACAACCCCTGCTCATGTGATTTTCTTAGCTAATCTTGTATGTGGCACTTATCATAAACTTTTAAAGAAAATAAGTTCACCAAATCCACACCCTTTCCTTTGTCCAGATAACCAGTAACATCCTCGAAAATAGCATAACAGATTAGTAACGTAGAATTTCCGTTTGGTGAATCCATGTTGACTTTAATTTATAACATAATATTTCAATGAATGATTTTATACTCTTCTTTTGTCAAACTGTCTAGAATTATTTCAATTGTAGAAGTAAGATTAACTGGCTTATAACTTCCAGGGTAACTGTTATTATTACGTTTAAAAATTGGAGTAACATGAGCAACTCTCAAATACTTAGGCACCTATCTACTCTTTACTGGTCAACTAAAATTGTAGGCGAAAGCATATCTGATCTTTGACCTCCTATGAAACCCTGCAGAAAACCTTGTCTGACCCTGATGCTTTATCTACATTTTATTAATTTATAAGAAGATGAAAACAATTAGATAACATATTACATAAATTCATCAGATGAACATTCTCTGAACAGGAATTAGATCTATTCTTTTTATTACTTCAGTGATATCTTATATTTTGCAGTTACATATTTTATTAAAGAGTACCCGTGTAGTATCACAACTTTACACTTTTGTGCGCTTTCAAAGCTGTTGGATTAGTTTTTGCACAAGCTATAGAAGTTCCATGTTTGTTACAGGTTAGTCGAATGTAGCCCACTGGTCAGTGAACCAGACTATGGATTTGTAGTTCCAATTTTCGCGTCCAGTTAAACTCGTGCTCTACGCTTTGCGGTCATATGTACATTATAAAAGTGGTGATCAAATCCTACTATTCGGTCAGACAAGAGTATCCCAAGCGTTGGTGGTGGGTGTTGTTGACTAGATGCCTTCCCTCTAGTATATCAGTTCAAAATTAAGGACGATTAGTGCATATAGCCTTTGTAGGCTTGTGCGAATATTCAAAAAACAAACAAATTTTGCAAGCTACAACAAAAACATGACATGAATGCTATACAGAAATTTAAAAAAAGAGCAGAGGAGTTGTATGAAGGCAAAAAATGTTCTTCCTAGCTTTTTTTCTCTGGAAATTAAATAACACTAAAATTAAAGCACTTAATTACCTTCTCACCTCACAAACAATGTCATTGTTTTATTTGTATTATTCTAATAACATGAAATCAAAGAGTGAAACCTTATACAAACTTTGAAAGTTAACATAGTATTGTAGACTATACTTTTTTATAACTTAGACATTTACACTAAGGTGTATTGGGAAGTTTTACGACATTTGACGGACGTAGCTTAATGAAAAAACCTTTCTTTGAAGTTTAGGAAACGATTTGAGCGATATAAAAATGCGAATGTGTCTAAAGTAGTAAAATACTGATGGATTTTAGGAGTTTGTTATAATATTTTATTAATTATTGAGCTAGAGAATTTGTTAGTTTGTTTATTACTCTAAGGCATTTTGTCAGTTAGTTTAATTTTATAAATATTGAGCTTGCGTTCCAACAAAGTATCATAAATATGAAAAGTAACATGGACGAGAAAATTTGCAAGTAAGTGTTATTGTTGTGTTAGTGTCTATTGTGAACATAGCACATCTAACTTGTAGAACTTGAAATTCAAGAAACAAATTTCTTCGTTTTCATTTAGTGAACTAAGCTTAGAAATCGTTGCATTGTTTTTCTCTTTTCTTGTCCTCTATTTATTTGTTTGTTATGGATTTCGTGCAAAGCTACACGAGGGCTATTTGCGCTAGCCATCCCTAATTTAGCAGTGTAAGACTAGAGGGAAGGCAGCTAGTCATCACCACCCACCGCCAACTTTTGGGCTACTCTTTTACCAACGAATAGTGGGATTGACCGTCACATTATAACGCCCCCACGACTGAAAGGGCGAGCATGTTTGGTGTGAGGGGGATTCGAACCCGCGACCCACAGATTGCGAGTTGATCGCCCTAACCACCTGGCCATGCCGGGCCTTTCTTGTCCTCTGAAACATTGTTGTGACTATTCCTAACTTTTTCAGTTTAACTGTACGTTTGTAAATTGATTTATTAAATGTACATCAACGGGGTTATAAAAGTTCTCTAGTATAACAAACAATTCAACAATTTATTTAATATATAAATTAATTGTAATAATTAAAATACATGCGACTTTGCAGAATTATAACTGTGCAAGTCTTTCCAACTTATGCATAAGGAATGACTTTTAAAGGTAGGCTATCATACTTTCGAAGAAATTTTTGAATTATTTCCTCAGTGGTCTTTCTACGTTGTTATAATTTAGCAAGGTTACTGAAGAAAACACTGTTTATCTGCCAGTCGGGATCTTTGTTATGCCTTTTTTTTTTACTTATAGCATAGATGTAAGGTTAAACTTATTTCAAATATTTTAGTGTAGAGGATAATTCGCTATCAATGCCAACAGTGATGGAGGCACAAGATAATGAAGACATCCAACTTAAGTATTAATAGAGCAGAATCCAAAAATACAGAGGAATCAAGCCAGTGTGATTGTCCTTAGAAGCACATTGATGGGAAAACAGTTAAATAGTTAGCTTGTCAAGAGTATCACCAGCTATCAGTGTATTCCATCAACCATTTCTACTTGAAGAGAATTCCACAGTTCTGTGTTGCCAGATCAACGGGAAATTGGACTACTTGGAAAATATCGTGTGCTGTTTCTCATGCATCGGATTTTTTTTTCCACAGAGCAGTCAGTTAGACCTAGTAACTAGAGGTTCGTAAGATACTGGATAACGGAGTGTGTCTAAGTATCTCTCTAGTCTCCAATCACAATCGACTGTAAGAAAGACTCAAGCCAAAATGTCACAAGAACAATGTTTATTGACAAAAGCACAATCACAGTTACATGTACTTTAGGAAAGTGTATTTTTATGAGAGTGTTGGAATGAAAAGAGAGAGATTAGAAGGAAGTGAAACCTTAGTGAGCTCTCTCTTACCAGTCCAGTTTGTCTCCCCCTCCCGTCTAAGGTAAACTACAATGCTATGTATAAAACTAAATTCAAGTCAAAATAAAATGAAGTTAAATTAAACTTATAAAGCTACAAATGTTACAAAAGTTCTAAAATCTCTAAGTTATGTAAAATTCTAAACATCGGTTAAAATCTGAAGTGTATATTTAAAGAAAAACAACAAAAACTGAAGTCTAACAGGACAGCACCTGACTTTTAATAGTATAAAATACAATAACAAATTAAGTTAGGTTTGCACATGAAACATTATTCTTCACATAACCTCCATCCACTTTTGTTCGAGGTCTGGGATAGGAAAAACTCTCAACCATTATCTTATTCGCCAAGAGAAAAGAAAGCTTTCTATTTCTGTATTTTGTTGCCTATCCTTTCTGCAAGAAACTTGGTTGATTGGCAATTAAGGGACCAGGTCTCAGACACAAGTAGAAGGAAGAAAATTTATAGTATTTTTAAATTGAATGACTTTCCACATCTGAATGCAGTTCATATGGCATACCAAATCTGAAGAAGAA